TTTTTAACAATTTCTGCATATCACAAAAGTAAGTTTTCATTTTATGAAATTACTATTACACTTTAGAGTATAGCCGTATTAAATATAGGTACTGCGTGAGTATCAGGAATCAGGATGATTAATATTTATTGTTTACCGTCGTATATTGCATTATTCTGCCTGCCCATTATTGTAATATGAGTAGCATTTTMTTAAAAGGAATTTGCACTCGCATGTGTTGTCTCCGTCTTACACACGTATGGTATACGTATGGTATACCAAATTACCAAATTTTCGTTCGCTAATTTCAATAGTATGCTATTAATTTTGATATTAGAACGAATTTACTAATATTATCAAACTTTTAGGTAACAACATTATGTGTGTAGTGAGTTCTCTCGTTTGTGTTTTACGATATTTTAATTTTTAAGTGAGCTATATGTATGTTACCTATATGTATGTTGTAGTGATTTTATTATTATTATATTATTATAATATGTTTTTTATATTTTTTATCGCCGTGCGTCGTGTAGAGACAACGACGATAACAACCTTTTGTTTTACTTATAATATTTTTGTTTGCGTTGTCGGCGTGCGTCGACCGACGATTTCAGCCGACAACGAAGACCGTTTTTTGTAATTCGTATAAATATTATTCATGTTTTAGTCTATCTGCCGCTTTTCGTCAGTTCAYTGTTCAGCGTGCTGAGAMTTTTAATAAATAAAGACATTGTGTTTTTTATTATTGAATGTGTCCACTCGCCCCATCAATGTAAATTATTGATATTTTAAAATGCACATAAGTCTTAACTGACTAGCACAGATAATGTTCTTACCTAAAAGTTTGATTATAGGCGGCCAATTCACTCTAATTTATACTCATAGTCGTGCGCAGACTTTGTCCACAGGGGGGCCCTTTAAAAAGGTCTGAGCCAAAGATTTTTGCACTCATGACTATTAGTATAACTAGGTAAATGTTTAATCGTTAATTGTACAAAGTATTTATTTAGTTCAATATGCAAGTATACAAAATAGTTACTATTAAAGGTATTAAAATACATAATAATAAAAATATAAATGAATAATAATTAATAATAATAATTTGAAACAGTAAAATAAATAATAATACCTATAAAAAAATAATTTTAACTCACACAATTTATAAATAAAAAAAAATCCTTTTTTTACATATACCTACCTATTTACAAATTACAATACCATCCTTCTGTCTGCGGGAATAAT